CATGCACTGACAAGTGCCTCAACATGACCGCAAACATGTTCAAGTGCAGTGCAGCCTCCTAGGCACCAGGCCAAACCAGGAGAGACGAGCGAATAAGCTTCACAAGACTGAAGGCCTACCATACGATGTCCTTGATTGGTGACTCCGGCCGTGCAGAACGCCAGATCGCGGGGAGGTGGGCGAAGTTGGAAGCCAGCACGCACGTACTGGAGAACGTCAACGCACGCTAGAAACACCAACAGCAGTCGGTTCGAGCTGGCCGTGGTCGAACGCCTTTACCGCTCCAGCCTGGCAGCTCGGCCCCGTGACGTTTCAGGGTCCGCCGGTCCAAACGGCCGGCGAACGGTTCGATCGAGTGTCTGACCAGATCGGCGGGCCCCCAGCGAAAGCGTAAGCCAGTTCTTGTGGAAAGTCACGAGGTCGAAGAAATCAAACCTAACAGTCATTACAAAATCCACATTTGTTTGAAATTCGACGTTCGGATTTAGAGTGTGCGTGCCATCGGGATCGAATGATATCGTGTCCTTGCACACATTGGCCACAGTTCAGATGAGACATGTCCTACTAATTTGTTCGTTGGTCACTGACAAATCATCCACTCTCCCTCGGCCGAAAATCTTGAGTCACGCGTCGGGTTTGATCAGTCATGTTCGAGCTCCCTGGACAAAATCACTGCCTCCAAGATCGACTGAGACAAACGACCCCAAAATAGACACACCTTTGCTTGTTTCCAAAACCAAGGCCCCAGTATGTCCAGAGGCATGTCCACATATACACAGATGACCTGCTAGATCGTTATTGCAGGAATACGTAACGGTCACGATGATGCACGAGAGGGCGGCCTCCAAGGGCCACGTGGGTTTCCACCCCTTCATGACAAACATGTGTCCCGATCCAACAATGGTGCAGTGCAGCCTCCTAGGCACCAGGCCAAACCAGGAGAGACGAGCGAATAAGCTTCACAAGACTGAAGGCCTACCATACGATGTCCTTGATTGGTGACTCCGGCCGTGCAGAACGCCAGATCGCGGGGAGGTGGGCGAAGTTGGAAGCCAGCACGCACGTACTGGAGAACGTCAACGCACGCTAGAAACACCAACAGCAGTCGGTTCGAGCTGGCCGTGGTCGAACGCCTTTACCGCTCCAGCCTGGCAGCTCGGCCCCGTGACGTTTCAGGGTCCGCCGGTCCAAACGGCCGGCGAACGGTTCGATCGAGTGTCTGACCAGATCGGCGGGCCCCCAGCGAAAGCGTAAGCCAGTTCTTGTGGAAAGTCACGAGGTCGAAGAAATCAAACCTAACAGTCATTACAAAATCCACATCTGTTTGAAATTCGACGTTCGGATTTAGAGTGTACGTGCCATCGGGATCGAATGATATCGTGTCCTTGCACACATTGGCCACAGTTCGGATGAGACATGTCCTACTAATTTGTTCGTTGGTCACTGACAAATCATCCACTCTCCCTCGGCCGAAAATCTTGAGGCACGTTTCGGGTTTGATCAGTCATGTTCGAGCTCCTTGGACAAAATCACTGCCTCCAAGATCGACTGAGACAAACGACCCCAAATAGACACACCTTTGTTTGTTTCCAAAACCAAGGCCCCAGTATGTCCAGAGGCATGTCCACAGATACATAGATGACCTGCTAGATCGTTATTACAGGAATACGTAACGGTCACGATGATGCACGAGAGGGCGGCCTCCATGGGCCACGTGGGTTTCCATCCCTTCATGACGGTGATTATCTTTCGCAGCAGCGTTACTCGTTGGAAGATATTGTCGCACATAGCGGTGATGCCTGCAAAGCTCCTCCTTGCTTCTCCTCGCTCCTCATCTTCCTTCTCCTCCTCCTCCTCCTCCTCCTTCTCCTCCTCCTACTCCTGCTCCTCGTCCTCCTCCTCCTCCTCCTCATCCTCATCCTCATCCTCATCCTCCTCCTCCCCCTCCTCCTCCTTCCTCCTCCTCCCTTTCCCTTCCCCCTCCCCTCCCCTCCCCCCCCTCCCCTCCCCTCCCCTCCCTCCCCCCCCTCCCCTCCCCCCTCCCTCCCTCCCTCCTCCCTCCTCGCTCCTCTCCTCCCCCTTCCACCCATCCTCCCTCCATCCCCCCCTCCCCCCCACTCCCTCCTCGCGCCCCGCTCCTCCCCCCCCCTCTACCCCCGTCCACCCCTCCCCCTCCCCTCCCCGCCTCCCCCCCCCTCCACTGCCCCTCCCTCCCCCTCTCGCTCCCCCCCCGCTCCGCCGCCGCGAGGGCCCCCCGCCGCGCCGCCGCCCCCGCCGCGCCCGCTCCGCGGAGAGGCGCCGCTCGCCGCCCGCGCCCCGCCGCTGCGCCGCTCGAACGGCCGCGCCCGACGCCCTCGCGCGCCCTCGCCCGCCGCCACGGCGCGCTTCCTCGGCGCCGTCGCGGACGCCGTCGCCGCGAGCGCCCGCGGCACGCCCGGCGCGGCCGCGCACGGCGCGGGCGGGGCGCCGGCGCCGGCGCCGCTGCAGCCAGGATCGACCGACGGAGGGCCGATCGATCGAGGATGGAGGGGGAGGATCAAGGACCGACGGAAGATCGCGGTCTCTGGGCGCTCTCGGCCCTGGTTGGGCTCTCAGGGGCGTCCTCGTCGCCGCGGCCTGGGTTCATCCCCTCGGGAGCCAGGCCAAAGCGAACCCCGAGGGACGTTTGGGGGGCCGATGTGTTCCAGGGCGCCCGCCCAGTGAGGCCCCGTTTGGGCGTCGCGAGCAAGATCGAGGCGGGCGGTCTTCCACGATCTCGTGCCCCAGGGCCGTCAAGGAAACGGCCGGCAGCGCAAAGCTATCGACTACACGCAAGAGCGACATTTCGCTGGAGTGACCTCTGGTGCGGGTCCGATGGTGTCCCCCCATCGCGGATCGCGAAGCGGTAGCAGCGGCTTGCGCGCCCAGGCTTGACCACCCCGCGTCCGCCGCTAAGTCGTGCACCAAGGGTCATTTTTGCCAAGGGTCACTTTCGTGAAAAACATGCCGTCGGAGGGGTAGGCTCTGCTCATCCGCGTCATCCTGCTTCTGGTTCGGAATGAGCAGCTCGTCAAAAGCGAATCGAGTGCACG